TCTGAGGCCATTCAGAGTTAGGAGACAGCAGGGGGAGGAGAGGCATTTCAATGTGGAAGTGTGAATTGGGTGCTTTTGGATTCCTGGTGGAGGTTACAGTCAGCAGCACACAGATTGATCTCGAAAGTCCATTGAGAGCCACTGAGCAGCTTCTCCTCATGCTCCAGGAGCTTCCAGGACCCCGATGGGCAGTGCCAGGGTGAGCTGCAGAAGCCAGCACTGGAGCCTGAGCTTGCTTCCTTTCCCAGCACCAGATCCAACAGGGAAGTCCTCCCTGGCTGTCACCAAGGCCTGATGGGGAATGTGAACTCCCAATGCCTCACCTTTCTTATTGCTTTAGAAGACTGCATGGTATCTTTCAGTTTTAAAATGTTGGCAATTGATTCGACTAAAAAGACAATGCGGGTCCAACAGAACATGCCCATCGGTCAGATCTGCTCTAGCCCCACAGGTCAAAAGCCCTGGGTTAGAATGAGAAGGGAAGCTGGGACAGAACCAGGAACCCTACAGTGTTCTTCCAAACTTCTTCATAAGAGAGCTAGGGAGAAGGTTTACCAGGCAAAGGCATCTGCTGCCAATCACCACAGCCTGAGTTCCATTCCCAGGATCTACATGGGGGAAGGAAAGAAATCATTACCCGTTGTCCTGACTTCCACAAACATGCTGTGGATACATACACACACAGTAAAATTTCTCCATATGCCCCTAGAAGTAAAACTACCCATAAGAGCTATCAAAAAATGGACCCTCAAGCATCAGTGTTGCCAGTTCAGTCGGTCTAGGAGCAGCCCAGGGTGGGTATTAACTAGTGCCATGAGCTCTTGGGACACACCGAGTATATGAGACACTAAGTTAGCAGAGAGGTGGAAGACAAGAAAGCCTGGCTTAGTGCAAAAGTGCAGGCTCAAGAACAGGAGAAAACAATCTGTAAGATGGTTGCTGATGGAAGAGAGGATGCTGGCTCCCGGGGAGATTTCCTTTATCCTCCCACAGCACATCTTTGCTTCTCCCCAAGGAAGAGGGATGATGATCTTAATGTGGAGTCTCAAGATTATAAGGAGCTACATTTGCTACTGGGAGCGAGTGCAGCTGATGGGCCTTAAGAGGTGGGTGCACTGGGCTGTGATCTCTGTGGACTCCTCCAGGCTTAAGTAGTGAGGGGAGAGTGTGTGTGTGTGTGTGCGCTCTCAAGCTTTCCCTGGAAACTGCTACCCTTCCTGGCCTAGCTGCCACCAGACCAGGCCAGCCTGGTGCCAGGCATAGTGGCACAGGTGCTCCATCTGCAGCTTTCCCTGGCAGTGCTAGTGCTGGGACGAAGAATGGGATGACATTCGAGGTGAGCTTAGAAGGTCCCATCCTTTCCTTAGTCTAAGTGACTACTTCTAATTGGTTTAGGAAGGAATGTTTTGAGGCTCTTTCCCAGCCTAGAGGAATTCCACCCTGGAAAGATTAGCCATGACACTTTTTTGTCTACTCTCCATGGATTCTTTGGCAGAATTCATGGAGGAGAACTGACAGTTCTGGGCTAGCACTGGACATAGCCAAAACTGGTCTACTCCAAAGCTATATCATGGTCTCTAGAATCTAAGATTACAGGGTGCCCTGGACTAAAGTGTATGCCCTGGATCCATAACAGAGACCACTAGTAATTTTAAATGAACCATTGTCAGCAGCACAGCCTGGCAAGATAGAAAGAGAGAAGCAGGGGAGGGGGAGCACAGGGAAGGTCAGAGAAGCTGTGCTAATGGTACCAAGGTGAGAAGAGTTCAGAGTAAGTACTGAGAGATTTGAATTGAATATCTAGAGCATAGGGGAGGGACGAGCCTCTTGTAAAGGCTAAGAGAAGGGAAAGTGTGTTCCCAAAACAGGTTTAGGATTTTGGTAGCAAAAGCTGGAAAGATTGATGCTGATGACCCCCTCCCCAACCTGCTTTTTTTTTTCTTTTCTTTTTTAATGGCAGCATCTCTTTCAGGTTATCCTCATCAAAGAAATCCACTGCTTCAGCCTCCTAAATGCTTGGGGTTACAGGTGTGAATAACATGCCCAGCCTAGGTGAAATCAGGGATATCTCAAAGACTTAAGGAGAATGGAGTTTAAACACATACTGGGCAGTCAGGGAGCACCAAGGGGACTGAACTTGGCTTCACAGGCACTATTGACACATTTTACACCCACTGGAAAACAGTAACTGCCACACACATATGGGGCTGAGCACACCTGTGTCATTAATCTAAGCATCCATTTATTTATTTGATGAGAGTGGTTTATCTAAAAACCTCATCCACCTAGAAACCGAAGCAGCAAGCTTCTCAGATCCCAGGCTGAACCCCACTCCCACCATCCCCAAGAACAGGTGGATATCCCTTGGAAAGCTGCCACCAACAGTATAATTTTCAAGGTGTGTTCAGAGAGCCTTGGGGGAAAAACAGGTTCGGAAAGTCTGGCACAGCACCCCCTCTTGGAGATTCAAAATGCATCCACAGAGTGAAAGCTGAACAGGAGAAAATTTTCATTTTGTTTCAGTGTTTTAAACAAGACACCTCCCCCCAACATATCTACCCACACTCCTGCTACCCAGAACTGTGGTGGACTGCAGACACAATCTGGTTGAAGGAGCCCCTGGTTATCTGCTTGATCTCTTCACTGTGATGGCCGTTTAAACAGTTCTCTGAAGGAAGAGGTTCAGTCTTTTAAAGAGAATAATTCATGGCATGGGCAGAGTATTTGGAATCTGAGAAAACCCACAGTCCAAGAGTTGAGTTAACGCAAGTCCACAGTGTACCCAGCAAGCTGCAGACAGCATTCTCGGGTCCAGACACTGCCTTATAAGGTGGCCTGACATTTTCTCATGGCCCAGACTGCCCTCCAAAAATATCCAGAGACAGAACAAGAGTGGGAAAGGCCCTCCCGGGGCATTTCAGATAATTACATGCAGGCTCTGCTGCAGAGCGGTGCTGACACCTGCTTGCAGTCCCAGCACCCAAAGCTCAGGGCTGTGCAAAACAGGAGGGCACCAAGGGAAAAACCCAACCCTTAAGGCATGCGCTCAAGCTGCTTTTTCTCTGCACGCCTCCGGAATATGCTCTCAACCTGTCTTTGCTTTATATGGACAATAGATGCATGACTAATTTTCATCTGTGCGCCTTTCTGTCCTTCTTATCCTTGGGCTGAAGCTGCTTCTCCAATGCTTCTAATACTCCCGAAGCCCAGATAGCCTGTGAGGTGCTGCCCCCCAGCGGGAAGGGTGGGCTACCACAACACGGAGGTGGAAATGGCGTTCCAGACTTCAGCCGAGGCTGCAACTGCAGTGCATCTGGGTTCCACCCACCCACTGCCACACAGATGTGAAAGTGACGGGTTGGGAAGGAGTTTATGCTCTACAATTAGGGAGCTCCCAGAAAACAAAAGTGTTTTACAAAATGGACACTAGGTGCTTCAACACAAAGCCTCTCAACTGTTATGGATTTGTTACCCAATGGGAGTCATGGGGCAAATTTGCCTTTTGTGGGAAAGATTATTTTTTGTATGGAGATTTGCCCATGTAACACCATGGGTGTCACTCTAAATGGAAAAAAAAAAAAAAAAAAAAACAAAACCCAAGTAGTCCCTCACATTTTTTCAAAGACAGTATTGGTTAAAAAGCAAAAGTACTTCATGGCTCTCCCCTGATCTGGCTCTTAGATGCAAGGAGGGGAATGTTAATAGGTATGGCTATTTTTGGTTATAGTTACTTACAACAGTTTCTTCACCACCAAATGGTCTGACAATGAGCCAGGCAATTTGTAAGGCTGGGATTAAAAAAAATAACAATATGATGAATTGCAATGCTAGTTTTCACTTTTGTTAAAGGAACAGAACCCAGCAGCATTTTTGGAACATTGTGTGTAACAGGAGGCTTCCTAATTACACCAGGCAATTCTTCCAGGCTAAAGCTTATGTCAACATAGCACACATAATTGCCACAAAGCAGACAATGCCAATCAGAAAGACCCAGCTCCCATCACTACTTGCTGTAAAGGATGACTGACTTTCCCACCTGCATCTCGGTGTCAGTCACCATCTGATTCCCTTTTCATAAGTGAGAAACACAAGACCCTGCACAAGAGGGCCACTCAGACTGCTGTGCTGGGGACAGTGAGCAGATGCTCTCCTTTGGGATACCACTATGCTCCAGGACAATGACAGTGGTTAACTTTGAGAAACACTGCAGATCTAGAGGGGAGCAAGGTATTACTGCAAACACAGGAGAGGAAGCACCGGGGACTAGATGAGCCTGTGCATGGAGACCCTTCTAGGGAAAGAAATTGTGGATCCAGAGTGGGAGGGCATCCTAACAAAGGTCCCTCCAACACTTTGTCCATGTGGAAAAACTCCCGGGAATGTTCTGGAATTGCAGCCACTTTCAGGGTGGGGTACTTGAACTTCCCCATCTAGTTTTCATAGAAGAGGAACACTGCTGGGAAACGGTTATCTACTGAGTGGGGGCTCAGCTTAACATTAGAAAGCTGCTAAGAAAATGACCCTAAGAAAAACCCCAAAGCAAACAAACAAAAAACCTCATTCTAGGACAAAAGATATTCCCTTTTTGCTAATTAATGTTTTAGGTTTCCTGGTACCTCAGAGGGGGTTACTCACACGCTTTTGCCGCCTGTTGGCAGCCTGCCTTGGTGAGCTTGAAGACTAACTGGCAGAGAGAAACATCTTAATAAAGTCTATTTTTCCTGTAAGTACAGAAGTGGTAATATCAGAAACAGATTTGAAAATCATTGGCCGGGCGTTGGTGGCACATGCCTTTAATCCCAGCACTTGGGAGGCAGAGGCCAGCCAGGTCTCCAGAGGAGTGTCAGGATAGGCTCCAAAGCTACACAGAGAAACCCTGTCCCAAAAAACCAAAAAAAAAAAAAAAAAAAAAAAAAAAAAAAAAAATCATCAAAGAACAAGTTGGAGTCCATAATGGAATGGGATTTTCCACATTCTTTGCAACATGGCCCCCGAGCAGATCCAGGCAGAGCACACACCAGTTTATTTTCAATGCAACGCAGATCAGTGTTTTATGAGTATAACTTACTACATTAACATCAGATAAAAACAGCTTTCAAATGCATGCATAGAAAGTTAAGCATAGTCTTTGAGCTCCTTATTTCTAAATATACAAAAAATACATTTAAATTATATAATTTTAGTGAATCAAAGACTTATAAAATTACAATTTTGGCTTTCACAACATAGAAAAAATACAAAAATGACTATATATATATGGTTGTATAATTTTTTACGCAAATTTCAAAGGAGCAGTATGTACTGACTTTGATGTTTTATAATGGTTTATCTGAAACTCAGAACTGAATGTGATTTTCAGGTTGGACAACAGCAACATCAGGCTTTTATTAGAAATGGAAAGCAAACCCAGGAGAAAGGCAGTAGCGTGACTGACCCCTCATCTGCCTCTTGGGTCTGGTGTCAGTCACATTGTCCTCTTGCTCAGTTTGCTTTTAGAGGGGCTTTTCCGTCCAGGACAGTGCTTTATTCTATGACTAACTCCACGGGGCCTTTGATTATGGAGCAGACACCTGCAACGAGTGGTCCTAACCTCAGCACGATGCAGATTAACACCACACATCTACAGAGCACTGCTGTGCACCTCAAAGAACCCATCCCTTCAAGAGGGCGCCTCGGGAGATCTGAGGCAGTCAAGCAGGAAGATGTCTCTAAGTCTGACAAAGTGCCCACACCACAGAGAAGCACCTTCTTTGTTCACACCTCACTATTAGACGTGACACTTGGGGAGACTGGATATTCTCAATTTATAAAAGAACATCATTACCTCAAAGGAGAAATTAATTCATGTTAGGGATGAAAAAAAAAAAGCATAAAACCTAGTTGCCAAGAGAGGTGACTGACAGACACCTTCTTCACTCATTGCTGTGTGTGTCTTCAGTGCTCACGCCCAGAAGACACTGGATTGAGACCCGTTTTGAAGGAAACTGGTGATTGTGTTCTCCTCACCCAAATTCAATTTGAGGCAATTTGAGGCACTGAGGAGGAGCCCTGTCCTTGGGCTGGAAGATCTGCTTCTCACACCACCTTTTGCAGCCATTCCAATGCAACTGTAACAATCTCAGTCAGATACTGTAACAAGGCTGATAAAATCCAAGCTGACTTTGTTTTACAGAAGTATAGTTTGGGGGAATAAAAAGCTGAAGAAAACCTTTCCCACATATTTGTCTATCAAATACCAGAATAGATTCTGATTTCAACACAAGTCAAGTCAAGAGAGCTGACTCGAGGCAGAATTCTAATGTTCCCTTTGACAAAAACTTATTACACACCTGCCTGCATTAGCTTTTCTAGCTCCTATGAAAACACAGGTTTGAAAATATAGTTTTCATTATTTTCTTTTGATTGGGACAATTATATGCTAAATAACAATGGCAAGATTTTTAAAGTCTTAAAGATAAACAAAGAAAAAAAGAAGAAAGAAAACAAGGGAAGTGATTCTATTAATGTGCTGTTTAAAGTCAAGTGCACATCTAAACTTGGGCCTGGCATTTTTATCAAAACCCTTGCTTTCTATTTTTAAAAGCAGAGTGTGCTGAGTGCGCCGTGAGGAGCAGTGGGCAGGGCAGTAACTCGAGTTTTGCCTGTCTCCTTCAAACCTTTCCTAAAGGGACTTAAATAGATGGTTATGCAATTAAGTGCTGTGAAGACACTATTAGACGATGTCCACAGTCACAAGCCAGCTGGTGGCTGCTCTGACATGTGGGGATGATAGTGCTTTTAGCTCATCCTAGAACATGTGTTGTCACTGAATTTACAACTTGGTGGGAGTTAACACAGGACCACAGTCAGGGAAAGTATCTAAACGGAAGAGTAAAAAATTTAAAAAAAAGGTAAGTATATAAATCTATTTCTGGATGCTTTTCTGGACTATGGTGGTAAAGCAACAGCTTCCAAGTGTTTTTAATTACAGATTTCCTCCTTCTGTGTAATGAGAACAGCTCTGGGCCAATACACATCTGTGTTCTGAGCTAAGTACAATGAAGCCTCCCCTTCACACTGTGGCTTGTTAGAATCTGACAGAAGCTAAGCTCCAGGTAAGGATCTCTACAGTATACACAGACTTCCTAAATCCAAGCACAGTTCTTAGTGGCAGGCAGTAATGACTCAATTGAAAACAAATGAAAGGCTTTTAGTGGTTTTCTGGTTACAGGCACTACCCAAAGCTTCACAGGCATATACATCTTGTAACTCATTCACTAGATATGAGGGGCTGGGTCCTAGCCAGAACTTCAGAGCATTCCAGAGGACAAATTGCTGCTTCAAAATTACAAAGAATTTCCAGCATGCAGTCAAGCACTTTGAGAAGGGAATGCTAAACACACTGCAGACTGCAACATAACTTTTACCGCAAGTTGGTGCAATGTCATTACTCAGACTGTAACTCTCAAGAACTTAGTGTTACAGGTCTTTATTTGTCAGATACATGAAGGACATGGAGGAGATAAAGTACCAGCCCCTTCTAGCCATCATAGATACTGGAACTTCTGATTCGAACATGCTCAAAGGACCAGCTAGGATGCTTTAGTGAACAGCTCTTTGCATTTTTATTTTTATTTTTTATAAAATCCCAGGCCCATGTGACACCGGATTTTGATTTTTATTTTGTTTTGTTTTTAATATTTTAAAAATAGTTCTTACTTATTTTCTATGAAATGTACTGGGAACTCAAAAAGTCTGCAGCATTTTTTGATCATGGAAAAGTTTGGTTTGGGATAGTGGTGTGGAGAGCTAGTCAAACTTCTTGTGTTCTTCAGTTCGAGAAAGGATCTTTCTTCTCTGGTGTATCATATGGAAGTACAACTGGGGAAAAACTGGAAGACAAGGAAAGAACAGTGGGTTAGGGAGCCTTGGAAAGTCCTGTTCACTCAAAGCACGGGCTCCAGATTGTGACTGCCTTTTTATCCATTGACCAATGGCAGTAATAAAACAGGCCTGCAGAGGGAAGGACAACATGGAGAGTCTCCTGCTTCAGCTGAACAGTCAACATACCACAGGTCACCAAACAGTTATCATCATCTGTGCTGGAAATTAAAAACAGTATCACATGGGTGACGCAAGTTTCTACTACTGAGCAATGGGCCCAACCCTGTTTACACTCCACTAACTTTCACATTATTCTAGTTAATTTCAGAACCTCCAGAGAGAGACAGTGATAGAGATGAAATAGAGTAAACAGCTCCAGTGAGGGTAAACAAAGTGCCCAGGGGCTCACAGGGAACCTGGGATCAGGTTCTGGGGTAGGGATGATTGCTATCTATCATCTCAGGGCATGCCCTGAGAAAGGCTGTTCTAGGATTGGCAGAATGAGGAGGGGGGAAAGTCACAAACATAACAAAGCAGGCTTGGGGTGTAGAAAAAGCCATTACAGAAGGGAAGCCAGTATCTTGGGTATCGGGGACTGGAAAGTCTTCAGTCCCCAGTGTTGGTTCTTAGAAGAGAATATTTGGCAAGGGGGCTGGAGTTATTGGCATTTAGCTTATGAAACCAGGGATGCTAAAATATCCCTAACTAACACCCATTGACCACAAATGCCCAGTGGAGAAGCTAACTGAGCCATCTGGCCTTCACATGGTTACTGCAAACAGGGACATTCAGTCACCACATAAACACTGTGTGAGGACCTCACCCTTCCCTTCCCAGTGGCCCCATCTCTGTTTTCCAGAGAGCAGCCTGTCTTTGAGGGGAGGGGGCTTCTACTATCGTCAACTCTCCTGGGACAGTTCCTTTCTTACTTTTCAAACAGATAAACTATTTATTTATTTATTTATTTATTTATTTATTTATTTATTTATTTATCAGAGTCTCTCTGTAGTCCTGGCTGTCCTGAAACTCACTATGTTAAACAGAGTATCTGTCTGCCTCTGTCTCCCAAGTGCTGAGGTTAAAGGCATGTACCACTATGCCTGGCTTCAAGTTGATCAAATTTAAAATACCCCTCTCAAAGAACGTCAAGACATCAGGAGGCATCAGTGACGTGGCCACCAGGCCCCATCCTGGTTCTACTCCATGTGCTGTTTCCAGGGAGGAAGTCACACACAGAAAAGGCTCAGCTTATACAAAGAAATCAACAGTGACAGAACTATTTTGGTATGAAAGCGAGGAAATTTGACAAGCTCTATAATCTGAAAACTGGAAGTAAGGATATAATTAAGCCATAGGGAGTGCTAATTGTAATCATTTAAAAATGCTGGGCCAGCCACATCCCTAGCTTTCCCTTAGGAAAGGGACTCTGAGCTGAGCATGCCTAGGACCTTCCCTGGCTGCATTTGTGACTGCATTACTCACAGAGGGCGGCAATGCCCCATGGCTACTTCAAAGGGTAGTACTACAGGCTATTCACTAAGCCCCTTGCTGGTAGTAAAAGCAGAAGATGGTCATGTGTTCCTTCAGTCCCATGGGAAAAAACTTTAGTCTATCAGCAGGGTCACACTACAGAAACAGGACAGATTTGGCTTTGTCTAAATTTAGAATTTTTAAAAAACATTTATTTAGTATGTGTGTATTGTGTTTGTGCATAGTACACGCTGTGGTACATGTGTGGAGGACAAAGGACAACTTGTAGGCGTCATCTCTACCATGTGGGTTCCAGAGACAGCACTCAGGTTACCAGGCTTGGCGCTTGACCCAGAGACATCTTGCTGGCCCAGATGTGGCCCTTTCCATTCAATTACAAGTGGCAGAGATCCCTAGTGCTCTCGGTAGAGAGAAGGATGCTGGACACTGGATGTTCGTGGGCTGTCTTCTAGTTCCATTGGTGACTTCATGGCAGCCAAAGCACTAATACTGTCTCTATCAGAATGACCACTGTGATCAGGATAAACAATTCTGACACATGGCTATTTAACTACATCCAGCCATGCTGATGAAAGCCTTGAAGAAATGTTAACCTGAATAGGTAACTGGGAAATCTACCATCTTCTAATGGTTCTGAACTGGAGAGCAGAAAGGAAGGAAGAGGAAAGAACGAAGGATAGGAAAGGAGAGCTTCATGGCTGGAGAGATGGGTCAGCTGTAAAAACCACACATTTCTCTTGCAGAGTACCAGTTTGGTTCCTGGCACGCAAGGGGGACAGCTAAAACCACCTTTAACTAATCCCAGCTTCAGAGGATCTGATGCCTCTGGCCTACTTAAGGACTTACATGCATATACACATGCCCCGCCCTAACTAAAACTAAATCTTGATGATTTAGTGGGTAAAGGTGCTTGCTAAGCAACCCTGACAACATGAGTTTGATCTCTGGACTATATGGAAATCGAGAAATGACTCTTGAAAGTTGTCCTCTGACTTCCACATGTGTGCTGTGGCATGTGTATACCTAGTTCTCTTAATAAGTAAGCATATAAGTGAAAAGAAAGTAAATCAGGGCTTCGGGCTGCAGATCCAGGCTAGTGGCAGAGTATGTGCTAATCTCCATTCATACCACCCATGGGAAAGGAAGAACAGCATTATTCTGCTCTTAGGCCTGTGTTTGCTCCCCTCTCCAAGGCCAAGATGGAAAACCCCACAGTGGTGGCTGTATTTTCCACCAGGGGCCCCAGTGTCACAGAAGGCTGCTTGTGCCTGACCTGATAGTCAGTCCAGCAAGAGGGCATCAGGAAGGCTTGGCAAGGCTGGCTACCAGGAGAGAAGAGTGAGGCTGCCTTGGGAACTGCTCCTGGAATGAAGGCCTTGCCAGCAGTGGAACTCTGGCAGGAACCCCAAGGTTGGACCCTGGATCACCTTGTAGAGGTGTGAGTCCATGCCGCCTTCCCTGGCCTTCCTAGTCACATAGTCTGGGACATATCTCCTGCTTATCAGAATAGAAACAAACACTGAGGTGCCCATGGGGCTGCTATTCTGAGAGTAGTAAAACCACTGCTGTGCCTTGTGCTTTGGAGCTGAAAAATGAAGCTCCAGGAAGCAAACCTTGAAAGGTGAAAAACTGTGCATTTGCGTAATGCACATTCTTACTCTTCTAGGTTTGCCTTTTGTTTCAACATCCAGCACCTTTCCCATGTGAAGAGAACTGTTAGCTGCCAGGATTCCAGCACTAAAGGGGAGAGTTTGGTAATGAATAGAGTGGAAACTGAGTCATGAAGCAGGACTACTGTGTCCAAGAATTTCTTTAAAACAAACGTTCAGATGAAATGTAGATGGAGTCTTTTTTTTCCCCCTCACAGTGCATAAAATGCAATTTTCCAGAGGGACACAAACATGTCATTTATGATGGTTATAGTGACTCACTAAGATAATGCTGGAGGCTAAAGAAATCTAATCTATCCCTGTTTGAACTTAGAAGGGTTTAAGGGAGATTCAGAGTTACGCTACAGTATAGCTAAATGAGAGGATGCATTAGCTTGGGTTGTTCTTGAGTCTAACAAGATCCTTTTGGAATACAGAAATCAAGCAGAGGAATTACGACTGAGCAGAACCTGAGAAAAAAGACACATGCCTCCCCAACAGCACCATCAATGTGCCCTTTCCATTCTGCCCCTTTGTCCTCAGAGGTACACTTGATTTTCCGTACATTTAAGCCATCAGTGGTTCTATTAGAATAACTGGAAGCCACACTGACGGGAACACTGTGTCCTATTCTGAGGGTTTTGTACTCAACAAGAAAACGAGAAATGTAGAAAAACAATACATTTGTTTTTATTTTGTTATTTGTTTCTTCTAGTCAGCCACTGATCTCTGAAAATGAAGTAAAGCTGCCTATTTTGATTTAGTAAGCAATGCAAAAATCTTTTTACAATGTTTTCCAAAAACCATAATAAAGCAATTCTCAAGAGACAGGAGAATAATGCCAAGCTAAAGCCTTCAGTAGTTTTTTGCTTTCTCCTCAATACTCCCCTCATATAGGGTTGACCTAGCCTCCTCATCAGTGTTACAAACCCATACACTGAGAAGGGTTCATTTTTATTCAATCATTACCAGGGAAAATTCCTCCTGATAGTCAGTGGTCAATAAAGACCAAAGTGTCCCCATCAATGAGATATATATTAGATATACAGCAAAGACAAGCAAAGACATAACTATAGTTGCCACAGAGCTGACTTTTAGCACATAACTATACTTACGTGGAATGTAGGAGATCATTACCAGAATCAGGAATGTATAGTAGTCAAAGGAGAAGTTGTATTTGTTAGGTAAGCTGATGGAGTACAGGCCAGCCTGTCGGACAAAGGGCAGAGCTGCATATATTGTGAGTAGTTCTCCTGTTACTCCCATTGGGTACAGAACGATGAAAAGTGTGTACCTGAAACAAAACAAAACCCTCATTGTGTGGCTCAAAGCCATGTTTAGAAGCACCACCTTCTCAAAAAGCTATTTATTGTCTCAGTCCTTTCTTGATCACCTGTCTATATTCAGCCTTTACAAGCCAATTTGAAAAGGGCCCATTTGTAGGTACATGCTTCTAAATGTTCTAAAGCAAAGTGAATGTGTTTATCCAGACTCAAAACTCAGCTTCTTCAGAACACACATTTTTAGAACAATGAAGGTAGAGCAGGGCCTTAGACCACAACCAAGGCAGAGCAGGGTCAAGGCAGAGCAGGGTCTTAGACCACAACTGAGGTAGAGCAGGGTCTTAGACCACAACCAAGGTAGAGTAAGGTCTTAGACCATAACTGAGGTAGAGCAGGGCCTTAGACTACAATGAAAGTCTTCCCATTGAGGGTGGAGAGGAAGGAGATGGAACAGCTACTCAAGAATCCCTAGAGCACACCAAGCTGCATGTGGACTGAAGAAAACAGCACATTACATTGCTATTCTCAAACGCCTGTACATGCTACTGTGAAAATAGAATCTTGACTAATTTTAACATTAAAAAATTCCTAATGGCTTTGAATTTTACAAATAAACCCACACAATTACAATTACCGCTGCATGAGAGGCTCACACAATTATTTCCACTTTAAAAAGTTTTATCTTTTTTAAAAGAATTCAGAGGAGCTGGAGAGATAGCTCAGTGGTTAAGAGCACTGGCTGCTCTTATAGAAGACCAGGGTTCAATTCCTAGCATCCACATGGTGGCTCATAGCCATCTATAATCCCAGTTCCAACAGACCCAAAACCCTCTCTGACATCTGCAGGCATCCAACATATATGTGGCACACATACATGCTTCTAGAGAAAACATTCACGGACATTAAACAAACAAACAAAAAGAATTCAGAGGGCAGGTACTACTAGCACAGGATGGGCCTACAAACTATTCTGGGGCATCAGCTTCCCTGGGGAAACTGTCAGCTTGAATCTAAGAAACCTGTGCCCATTCATGGCTCAAGATTAATTGGATTAAACTTCTAGCTACAGGAATCTTCTGAGAAAGAAGCCATATTCTCTGTTGCCAACCTACATCATTAGGCAGGGTCGTGGGAAAGAATCATTCATAGACCACAGAGAAAAATGAGCCAAAGAATTCTCCAAGAGTTCAGGCGGGTTGGGAGCTATTAGTTTCCCTTCTTCTTTTTCCTGAATATAGTTTATTTCAGATAATAATAATAAAAGCAAAGAGGATCATATACCTGAAATGTTGGAAATGGATGCTGTTCCAAATGTAATCACTGAGCTCATAGACTGTCTATCAACAGCTGTTTTCCTTCCAGGAAATGAGGAGTCTCAGCTCCAAAGTGAGTTTGGAGCTTTTTGCTGTGTCCTCACTCTCAAGTCCTTCATACACATAATCACAACTGGATAAACAGATATGCTATCAGCCTTTTGCCCAAGTCATAACTGAATTTTGTTATTGTTATTAGACAACAGTCTCATTCTGTGGCCAGAACTTGTGGGAATTCTCCTGCCTCAGCCTCCCAAGTCCTGGGATTACAAAGGGGTGGGCCACCATGCCTGAAGCCTTAATTGAATGTTACTGGTAAAAATGATTGGAGCCAAATAAAACTCGTAAGTTGAGATAACCACATAGTGTTTGTCATTAAGAATCATAGTTTCTTACAAAAAAAGACTTGGAAATATAGCTATGGACCAGAAATGACCATAACAGGACAAGTTCACCAGCTAAACTGAATAAGGAAAAAAATAGATATTAAATTTCTATTAAATAACAAATGAAAACTGATTTCAATAAAAATAATCTAAGACTTGATAACGGTGTTTCTAGAGATCAAAGTCAAGACCCTTGTGGTGAAATCTCTCCATCTCATTTAATTTGTAGTTTGGGGAAGTTGGAGGCAATCAATATTCAGGCAACAAAAGGCAAATACTGTGATAGATGCCTTCAAAGTTAGTCTTTGCTGTATGTATTTCTTTACCTGGCCCATTTGATGATGTAAGGCAAATGGTTTAATAGACTGAATGTGTAAAAGGAGTAACGGATAATTTCCGTGATTGTCCAGGCAATAACAAACAGAAGGACACTGTCTTCACTCTGCACCTGGAGGAAAAGAAAAAAGATGTAAGAGCAAACAAAGGAACATGTGGAAAGAGGCATTTTATAGTGTGCAGTGCCTGAAGGGCTGTCCAGCCATGGCTACCAACTCTGTTGTCAATGGCTGTAGCATGGCTTGGAAAGGGCTTGCTGACCAAAACACAGATATTGTAATAGTCCTTCAGAGATGGTGATAGGAGACTGGGCTTATGGACCAGGAGGAGCTGGCTGCTGGGATGAGAAACTGGATAAGCTGGATTGCCCCAGGAAGAAACAAACACAGCAAGTTTCTTTGCTACTCTGATGAGGGAAAAGTGAAGTGACACTGGTAGGAGTCAAAAGTAGGTAGGTAGGAGAGGCTAGGAGGACAAGTTGGTGGGAAGCTGAGGATCCATCACCAAGAATTTGAATGCAATTGGTGTGACAGCTGGGAATCTGAGGACATTTCAAGAAGGAGAATGTGAGAATTAAAGCACAGGTGGTAGGATGAACTCAAAGGAGGAAGAGGAGGAGGAAGGAGGAAGGTGGAAGGAGAAGGAAGACCATCCACCAGGCAGGCATTTATGTTGTGGCACTGATGACTTCTTCCCCGAGCCCAGGCTTATACCCTCCTCTGTGAGGAGAAAAGCTGTCTTGCTGTTCACCCACAGGAGGCAGATAGAATCAGAAGAGCTTTGACACTGCCTGCTTTTATGCTGGAAAAATGATAACCCTATAAAGTGCCCTTATATGTTTTATAGGTGCTGTCCCCATGCAGGAGAACTTATGGCTGTAATATGAACTGCAGCACCCTCCCATGCCACTCTAGCTGGGTATGAGATGATTTTTTTTTTTTTTTGTGAGCAAAACCCAACAGAGACAACCCTGTACTTCGATTCACTTCAGTTTCCCCACCCTATGTAGCTTGTGAGTTGCATGTGAGTTAGAAATCCAACTCAGTAAACTGAGCAGACTACTATAGGCTATTTTCTCTGTCTCATCCCAACACTTAGTAGCAAAGGTACAGCCTTCACTTTTGCTTTTTTCCAGCTGCAGAGCCAACAGTTTTTAGCACTTACATTCTTTCTCAGAAAGTGTACATGGAGCAATCCACCTACACGATGAAATAAGTAGTCATTTACATAGCTATTAACTAAATTGCCCTGACAAAGAACTTCATAAATGCATGGTTACTATTCTCTAAAAATAATAAGAATTTTAGACTGTCAAGAGCAGGAGTACTTTCTGCTTTCCTGGTGCTTTTCTATTAGCCACAGTAAGGCCAGAGTGAAGCACCTTCAAAGCCCATGCTGAGGGCCTCGGTCTGCCCATGAGGCTTTGTGTAAAGCCTACTGATACTAAAATCTAAGTTTGTAGGATATGTTGCTTTTTCATGAATTTTGTAACCCTCTTTATCTGACACTGATGTATGGTTTTCATTGATTTTATTACTATTTTTTTTTTTTTTTACAGCTAGAGCTAAATCCTTGCGTAAAGACCCCCAGTAGGAAGCTCCTCCAGTGTCTTGTACTCTACATCACCTTCAAAGAGTATGTGCTTTAACTTACTCTTGTTTCCCCAAAGCACCTGATGCTCCCCAGGAACAATCTCCACAACTATCTGTGATGCATGCAAAGGGATTCAATCTACTCAGCTCACTCCAAAACCCAATTCCTTTCTTTTTAATACCTAATATTGGTTGTATAGAGTTAGTGGCCCACACATAGGCAGATAACAAATGAGCAGATGAACCACAAGCTTCTCACTTTGACCCAGCCAAACAGGTGGTCTGAAGGAACAGGCAGCTCTTACACAGTCTGTGTTTACTTAAGTATCTTTTAAAGGCGGGAACTAGGGGAATGCCTATGTTGTACAATTAACAGATTCATCCTTAGTATCAGAAGGAAGTTGGGAAGCTACAGAGATGGCCTAGAGGTTAACGGCACTTCCAGAGGACGTAGGTTCAATTCCAAGCACCTACATGGTGGCTAACAACCATTCTTAACCCTAGTTTCAGGGGATCCAATGCCACCTTCTATCCTCTGTGGGCACCAGGCACATACATGGCACACAAACATACATGCAGGCAAAACACCCATACACATAAAATAAAATTAAAAAAGAGATCTGGATAAAGCTAGAGGTCACATCTTTTTGATTTGCAGATAATTACTCAATAACATAGAACAAGGGCAAAATGTAATGAGTTAAAATCAATAAGCTGATTGTGGTAGTTTGAATGAAATTATCCCCATAAGCTCATAAAGAATGGCACTATTAGGCTTTGTTGGAGTAGGTATGCATGGCCTTGTTAGAGAAAATGTGTCACTATGGGGGTGGGACTTGAGGTCTCATATATGCTCAAGCCAGGCCCAGTATCTCAGTTTACTTCCTGCTACCTGCACGTCAAGATGTAGGACTCTCAGCTCCTTCTCCAGCACCATGTCTGCCTACACACTGCCATGTCCTGCCATGATGATAATGGACCTCCAAACCACTAATCCATAAGCCACCCCAATTAAATGCTTCCTTTATAAGAGTTGCCGTGGTCATGGTGTCTCTTCACAGCAATAGAAACCCTAACTAAGGCAACGACCAGTCAGACTGGAATTGGTGTCTGTAACTCAAAGTGACACCAATGGATGAAGACTTCAACAACTGCATGCATGTATGCATACATACACATAATGTGAAATAGTATTACAAATGCCACAATCTGGATGACTGAATCTTGAAGACTATTTTCAGCTAAATATGCCCTTCACAAAAGGACAAATTCTGTATGATTCCACTCACATGAGTATGTGAGTAATCAAATTCAGAGATAAGCAAAGACAGAGGTTTTAAGGAGTTGGGCAGGAACATGGGGAATTACTACTTAACTGATAGGAGTTTCAGTTTGAGAAGTTAAAGAAAATTCTGTAGATGGAAGGCAGTCATGGGAATGCACTTAAAGTAACTGAATGTAGACTCAAAAATGATCAAAATGGTAATGTCATACATATCTCACCAAGATAAAAATAAGTTAAGAAAACCTAATTATGTCAAAATCAACAGAAAGAAAGTTAAAGTATTCTACAATTCAACAAAGTGACTTTAATACAGACCCTGGCTGTGGCGGTTTGAAAGAAAATGGTCCTCATAGACTTATAGGGAATGTCATTTTTAGGAGGTGTGGCCTTGTTGAAGCAGGCATGGTGTTGTTGGAGGAAGTGTGCCTTGCGGTCTCTTCCTGCTGCCTTTGGATCCAGATGTAAAACTCCAAGCTACTCCTTCAGCACCATGTATGCCTGTGTGCTGCCATGTTTCCCACCATGACGAAATGGACTGAGCCTCTGAACTGTAAGCAGCCCAAAATAGATGTTTTCTTTATAAGAGTTGTCATGGGCATGGTATCTCTTCAAGACAACAGTAACTCTAACTCAGACACAAGTTATATCCTAGTCCCTGGTACCAACTAGGTCAGTCCAGGCCTGACCATGCTTTTTTTGGAGGAATGTGGATTTTGGGAATTTGGATTAGAAAAGCAGTTGAATGCTTTAAGTGGGGCTTAGTGGCCCATCCTTGTAGGAACATGGAAGACAGTAAGTAGCTCTGAGGGTGATTTGAACTGTGGGAGACTGGCTTAAGAGATTTCAGAGAAGAATTTTAGTATGTAACCTAGAGAATGCTCTTGTGTATAATGGTGGCTGCTTTCTGTCCTTGTTCCAAAAAAACAAAACAAAACAAAACAAAACAAAAATCCGCCTGAGGCTAAATTGAAAAATTTTTGGATTAATTGCTTTAGTAGAGAAAATCTCAAAACAGCCTAGTATTGACTCTGTTGTGTGGGTCATTAGTGTTCATTCATGCAGATTTACAATGAAAAGGAGCAAACTGAGCAAGGAAAATACAAAACGTACCTTCTGAGAAAAGGAGCTAAATTCTGTGTTAAAGAAGATTAACAGATTAGAGAAAAGCCTGGTGTTAAATGGAATAAAGGGAGTGGTGACCTCAGAGCAAGATCCTACCCAGCTAAACTTCCAGTTTGTGAAAAGGAATTAAAGAAAGCTTAGAGCCAAATGTGGTGGTACACACCTTAATCCCAGCACTTGGAAAGCAGAGGCAGGCAGATCTCTGAATTTACGGGATAGCCTGGTCTACAGATCAAGTTTCAGAACAGCCAAGTGTAGGCAGTGAAGGAAACTGTGAAAACAAGGCCGGTGAAGATGTAACTGAATGAGGGGGCCATGTTCCAGTCCCAGCAAACAGCAGAGCTTGACAGCTTTGGAATCTTCAGTTCTGCCTTTAGAGTCAAGAATAGAAGGGTTATGGAATCTCACTCCATGACTAAGGAAAGACATTGGCGGCCAGATGTGTGTCAGGAGTGTCCCTGGATGGAAGCCCAGAGAGGCCACTGTGTGAAGCTGTGAAGCCTCGATTGCCTTGGACCCCAAAATGTTGGAGATGCCAGAGCTGTGGGATACCTGCCAAGGAAAGCTGCTAACAGGGAGTGGAACCAGCCCAGGAGAAAGAAGTGTGCTGCAGTCAACAAAGCTGAAAGGAGTTGGAGATCTGAAGAGAGTTTTGACATCAGACATGGAGATGTAGAGTTTGGAGCTTGCCCAGCTGGTTTTTGGTTTTGCTTTGGTCCAGATTTCCTTTCCTACCTTTTTGGAATGGTAATGTATATCCTGTGGATATATATACATATGTTGGAAGTATGTGATCTGCCTTTTCATTGTGATTTTTGTAGGGGGTTATAGTTAAGAGATTGCATGCATCTCAGCAGAGACTTTGACTTTTACAGGGTTGAGACTATTATAGACTCTGGGGACTTTAAAGTTGGACTTAATGCATTTCTGCATTATGATATAGCTACAAGCCTATGGGGTCCAGGGAGTGGAATATGGTGGTTTGAAAAAAAAAAATGGCTCCATAGGCTCATAGGGAATGGCACTATTATGAGGAATGTGCCTCAGTCTCTTCCTGCTGCCTTCAGATCCAGATGTAAAACTCTCAGCTCCTTCTCCAGCACCATGTATGCC